GGCTTTCTTCCCACAGGGGCAGCCATGCTGGGTCCCCTGGTCTGCACAGTCTGGAGTTCCCCCATGCAGGCCTAGAGGCAGCAACTATTCAGACTGAGATCTGTGCGTCTGAGGGAGGGGTCCTCAGAACTGATCTGCACAGTCCCTTAGGAAATGAGGTTTTGCTGGTGGAGTTCTTCCCCCAGCCCTTAAGTCCACGCCGTTTCAGGTTCCACCATCAGAGTCCCCGGGTCGACACCTGGGCGTCCTCCCACCAGCCTAGCTTCGTGAATACTCGGGCCTGGACCCTGGTCCTGGGCTCTTCGAACCCAGTGGGGATTCAGGCTCTCAGGACCAGGGTCCAGGCCTGCTGGTCTTCCTGCTTCCAGCCTTATACCCCTGAGCATCCTGAAATCATTTTCTCAAACTCAAACGTTCCTTTCTAGGTGTCAGGTGTCACTTGTTGCCTGCAGGATAAAATCCAGATTCCCAGGGCCTATGAAGACTTGGACCTACTCCAACCTTGGGTGCAAATCTGACACGCTAGGGCCCAAAGCCCTTCACCATCTCTGTACCCAGCTGTGCTTCACCCAAGCACCCTGGCGTAAAGCCTTTCTCGGCATTGCTGCCACAGTCGCTCCCTGGGTCCCCCTTGTGTCACTCTGCTGCCTTATGGTGCTGCGTCCTCTGCCTCTCTTGGCCACAGCCCAACCTAGAAATTACTTTTCCAAGCCCAGCATTTCACGGACTGCTAGGTGCACAGGTGGTACATACTTTGTGTCTAGAGACCACCTGGCTCTGCCTACCCTGGGCAGGGCTGCTGGGCACCTGTAGTGGCAGCTGGAGCTGAGCTGGAGCCTTTTATGGGGCCCATCCCAGGGCTGAGGCGAAAATCCCTTTCTGTTAACCACAGCTGCTGCTGGGGCTCAAGCAGCAGTTCCTGGAGTGGTTCCGACACCCTCCCCGTGGGCTGAGACAGCCAGGTGTGCGCAGTGCAGGGGTGTTCCAGCAGCTGATGTGCAGGGCTGGCCATTGAATCTTGTGAGGCTGCTTATGGCTGAGGTCCTCCTTCTATGGTTGAGCCCTGGCCATGGGGGATCCTGGAAATTATACAGAGAGAAAAGCCTCATGTGAGGATGCCACAGTTGACAGATCCCTAAGTGCTTTGCCAGATGAGTTTAATTTTAGGTGCCTGAGCCTCCCAGCGTGGTTGCAGAAGGGAGTCGTTTTGAAATTTGGGGTGCAAGGTGCGTTATCGGAGCTGCTGTGAGCTGCTTGAAGGCTGGCCATGCTGATTTATTTTGCCATGTGTTACCCTGCGCCACACATGGTTCCAAGCATACTGCAACTTAATCTTTGTAGCCAAACTGGGGGAAGGGAACAGTGATCATCCCATTTCATAGGCGAGGAAACAGAGGCAGAGAGAGGAAGGTTAAGCCGCTTGTCCAAGGACACAGGAAGAAGCTAAGCTGTGATTTGACCCCAGGCCACCTGGTCCCAGAGGCCTTGCTCTGACCTTGATGCCCCACTGCTCAAGGACAGAAGTGGCTTGCAGACTGGCTGTGGCCCAGGGGTGTGTTTCTTCATCTGGTCAGTGGTTTTATTCATTTGTTTATTTTTGATTGAGTTAGCTGTCAAGAGTAAAGGTGAGAAGATGGCCCTTTGAAATCTTGCTTCCAGGCTCTTGGGCAGATCTGTGGGTCTGAGGGTTCTGGCCCAGGTTCCCCCATGGGAGCTGCCACCTGGAGGTGAAGCACCCAGCCCAGGCCTGGGTGATTGTTTGTCACAGTGCCTGTCGCATTCATGCAGGGCCTGGCCCCTGGGGTGTTTCTGTGTCCCCATCAGACAAAGGTCTCAATTATGCCATCAAAGTGAGACACTGGCCTTCGTCTCTACTCTTGGCTCTCCTACTCGTACCTGGTCACTCCCCAGGCCTCCTGGCCTGTCCCTTCCTGGTATTTCAGATCTACCAAGATGGGCAAAGCATTGGCCACAGGAGCAAGCTCTCAGTGAGCAGACCTGTTCCAGAATTCACTGCACCCTGGGCCTTTCGAATTCTGTGATTTCACAGGCTAGGTGTTGAGTCTGACCGACTCCGAAGATTACTGGCGTCTTCCAGTATTCGCTGGAGCCCTGAGTGATGTGCCGGACACGCCTTAGGCTCTCGTTAGGACATTATTTGAATGCAGCTCACTGAGAGGCCCAGAAACTCTGCCTCTGCTTCTGCGTGCCTTCCTTTTTTCTTTCAGTTGTGCTGCCCTTGATCTGGGGACAGTTGAGACAGCACAGTTTTTACCTAAAAGATTTAATGAAAAATGCTTTGTAAAGTTACAGCTCTCTAATTTCAAAGGTGGTGTTTGTATGAGTGTGGCAAAGGCTGTGGAAGTTTCTGGGGGCCGTGAGGAGGGAGGGCAGAGGAAAGCCTTCAGTTGTGCTGCATGAGGCTTTGCATTTGTTTCCCTTGTTACAAGTTTTTATTTTTATGTTAAAGTACCTAATAAAATGGAATTGCGTTAGAAAGTTTTAATAAAGATTTATGAGGCTGGCACTCTGAGAATGCTCTCGGGAGCACTCTCTGGACCGCGCCTGCAGGGGTGAGCATGTGGCCATGACCCCCATGCCGGAAGCGGTGTCGCAGAGCGAGTGCTCTCCAGCTGTCACATCCAGATGTTCCCCACCCAGCAGTGCAGTAGGAGCAGTGGGCCCTGGAAGGGTAGTCTTTAAGGAGAGAGTTCAAGAGAGGCCAGAGCTCTTGGGTCACTCTGGAACCTCTGTAGGACCAGGGGCTGCCAGGAATTCAGCAGTGGGCGCTTTGGGGGTCCCTGGTTCTGAAGATTGACCAGCCAGTCCAGGAGAAAGTGTGAACCACACACATGTGAGCCATGGATGTGATGTAAATATTAGTAGTTGGTGACGTTTAAAAAGGCAAGCAAGAAATGAATGGACTGAATGTTAATGATACGTTTTAACTCAGTTTATCTGAAATGTTATTTCAACATACGATCAGTATATAAAATTATTACAGATACTACTTTCTTTTTTTTTATATCAAATCTTCTAAATCCTGTGTGTGCTTTCTACTCATAGCACATCCTGAGTCACACCAGCCACGTTGCAGGAGCCCAGGAGCCACACATGGCTGGCACCCTGCACATCAGACAGCGCAGGAGGAGACCTTTCTGAGTCAGGAGGGGAAAATGTCTGTGCAGCCAGCAGCTAGATGCAGGCTGAAGCAGCTGCCCTACCCGTCTGTAACTACAGAGGTGCCTTTGAAACAAGTGGCCTCCGTCTCCTGGGAAGCGCTGGCAGTAGACATGCACTTGCAGGCTGAGCGGGGGAAGGCAGAAAGGCTGGGAACCGAAATGTGAACTCACATGGCGGTTTCTCCTGAGAGTGAGCCGTGTGTGGTTTTCTTTTTCTTTCTCTTTTTTTTTTTTTTAAGACAGTCTCACTCTGTCACCAGGGTGGAATGTAGTGGTGCAATCTCTGCTCACTGCAACCCCCGACTCCCAGGTTCAGGTAATTCTCCTGCCTCAGCCTCCTGAGTAGCTGGGACCACAGGCACACGCCACCATGGCTGGCTAATTTTTGTATTTTTAGTAGCAACAAGGTGTCACCACGTTGGCCACTATGGTCTTGATCTCTGACTTCGTGATCTACCCGCCTCGGCCTCCCAAATTGCTGGGATTACAGGCATGAGCCACCGGACCCGGCCACATGTTTTTATTTTCTTTTGGCTTTTGGGTTAGAATTTTCTCTTGTGTGTGCATTAAAATTACTTAATATGCATACACCTGTTTCAGTAAAAAGAAGGTTGAAGGGGCGTGCTTCTGCCGGGACCCATTTTCGTGGCACCCATGAGCTCTTAGGCCTTTGGTGTCAACGTGGTTATTTTTAATCTCCTGAGCCTCACCAGGATAAGAATTTATGAAATAAAAGTGTTCATAGCAACCAGCTCGCTCACATCCCACATTCCCCGTATTAAGGTATGGTGCCAAATGCTTTGACTTGTAATGAAAATATTGTGACTAGTAAGTGAAAATATTGTGACAAGCCAGAGAATTGAGGGTTGCTATGGAAACCAGCCCTCTCCATTGTCCTCCCAAGGTGGGCTCAGCTGAGGGGGCTGCTGTAGGCTGGTCTGCTCTCTGATTTGGCTCCTTTTTGGTGCTGTCATTCAGCTGTGAAAGAGTCCCGGCACTCAGGCCGGTTCACCCTTTCTTGCTTCCAAGGCTGTGTTCAAGCCTCAGTGAGAGCAAAACTGGGAGGTGGGGGGCGGGTGTCTCCAGTTTTAGTTTCTCAGAAGTGACGGTTGGTGGTTGGTTGTTGGCAGATGGCTCCCTGTCCTCCAGGCAGTCACTCATGGACTGGCGAGTGGACAAGCTCATTCTACGAGAACCCAGCCAGCTTTTCCTCTCCCAAAACCTGTCATTGCCTAAGCTTCATCCAGGGAGCTGGAAATAGAGGGTTTGCACTGATGTGTGGAAGGAAGCAGCCTCTCCTACATTCTGTGCTCCTCCCATGGCCGCAGGAGTGTGGCTCTGGGTGTCTGTGTGTGGTGGACAGTGGATTTGCTGCTTATTCAGGTTCCATAAAGCCACGGGGCTCAGCCACGGCCACTGGGGAGAACCTTGCTGAGCCATGCAGGCTGAGAATGGGATCAGTGCACTTGCGGGAAAAGAAGGAAGAGAGAAAAGCCTTTGGGAAAGGTACACCTTGTCTAATTTTATTCTAGGTCATCTTGATGGTTAAAAAAAAAAAAAGGTGCTGCTTCCACTCTAGATCAGGACTTCCTATGGGCAAGTTAGGACGGTGCAGGGACCCATCGTTGAGTCAGTTCCTCAGTGTCCTGAAAGAGCAGGAGACACCAGAGCAGACTCACCGTGCTCAGCTTGCCCACCCGGGCAGTCGGAGAGCTCTTCTTGGCTGTGACCAGAACCGTCTTGGTGTGACAGGCTTCATGGCTGTGTGTGTCATGGCATATGGGCCTGAGTCTCTGCTCCTTCCCTTTCACTGCACAGGGCCCCCAGATGCCGACGGCCCTCTCTACCTCCCCTACAAGACGCTGGTCTCCACAGTTGGGAGCATGGTGTTCAACGAGGGCGAGGCCCAGCGGCTCATCGAGATCCTGTCTGAGAAGGCTGGCATCATTCAGGACACCTGGCACAAGGTAGGCCCACCCTCCCGCTGGCCACACTGAGAGGCCACTGCAGCTGGCCAGGGCAGTTTTGCCCTTCCCACTGCCTCTCCCCCTCAGGGTCCAGTGAGTTGCAATGGTTACCTGGGTTCTGGGGCCCCGTGCCTCCCCCTACCCCCAGATGCCCATCAGGATGGCCACATACCGCCTGCCCCGCTGCAGAGAGAACATTCATAAAACACCCTCCACTTCTCTTTCCTGGCAGAATTCTACCACCTCGAGGGATTGCTTGCAGGTGCTTTGGCTTCTGTCAAGCCGCCCGTGGCCCGGCTACTGAGATGGTCAGGGCTGGGGTAGGGCTCGGCATTGCAGGGAATCTGGGGAGCTGGGACCTAGCCAGTTTGTGGCCAGCGCTCAGGGTGCAGAAAGGAAGGTGTAGGGACACACTGTGTAGGGCCCTGTGAGATTCTCCAGCCCCTAAGCACCCCTGGTTTCCCTCGTGCTGCCAGGGGCAAGTTCAGAGGCTGAGAGCTTCGAGCTGTCCCCAAGAAGTGCTGCATGGCACATTCCTTCAGAGGAGTCAGAGTTCACAATAACTTTGCTGCAGAATTTAGTGGTTAGAGGTGTTCGGGTGTGCCCTGAGGCCAGTGGGTCACTCCTTTCCTGGCCATACACATCACGTACAGTCTCAGTGGTGCTGGGAGCTGGTCACTCATCACTGGGGGCTTTCCTGGGTATGAGTGGCCATAGGAAATCAAGATGACCAGGGAGAGGCCCAGCCCTGCTCAGGCCCTGTCTCCAGAGTATGCGGCCCCCATGCTGCAGCCAGAGGCCTATGGGCTGCACACCTGGCTGGGTTAGGCTCCAGGCCAGAAATGCTGGCCAGCTGCCCCTCAGAGGAGCTGGCAACACCATACTCCCAAACGCCACTCCAGGGATCCAAAGCCTTTGGCCTTGACAGTCCCGATGCACACACTGGGCCTGGGGTCCCAGCCAGGCTACCTTTCCCCACAGGTATCTGGAGTCCCAGTGGAACCCTTGACTCAAAGCCCCTGCTCCACTTCATCAAGCACTCGGGCCTCTGCTCTTATCCGGGGTCGGGGGATGAGCCAAGTCCCATCTGTCTGTCCCCTCTGTTAACATGTCTCTGGGTACTTCTAGGCCACTCAGAAGGGTGACCCTGTGGCGATTCTGAAACGCCAGCTGGAAGAGAAGGAAAAGCTGCTGGCCACAGAGCAGGAAGACGCGGCAGTCGCCAAGAGCAAACTGAGAGAGCTCAACAAGGTACAGCCTGAGTGGGCTCAGGCATGGCTCATCCTACCCCGTCCTCTGAGGACCCCCACCCCATCCACGGTGGATCCCAGGCTCTGAGATGCTCTGGCCTGCCTGGAACGTAGCGGGCTGTCAGGCCACTGAGTAGGGACTGCTGCTTATTTGCTGCCTGAAGAGCCGAGGGCTGGCGACTTACCTTTGGCAGTGCTCGTGGCTCTGCTGGCTGGTGGCTTCCTTCGTGGCTATAAGAACGCAGGGAGGGGTTGGAAGTTAAGCAGCATCAGTTTGTGATGGGGGTGGACCAGACCTAGCTTTCATGAGACAGGTCCCACAGTCACGGGCCAGCTGTCTAGGGGCTGTGCCTGGAAAGGAAGGTGGGCCACAGTAGATTCAAGGTTGTTTTCTCAAGAACTGTGCGAAACCTTGTGGGGAGGGGGCTGGAGGGGCTGCTCTTCTCCCTTTTCTGATGTCACAGGAGGGATGTGCAGGGAAACCTGGCTCCGTGCTTCAGTGGCTGGCGTGACAGGTAGCATTTGCAATCTAAACAGCAGTCTGCGGTGGGTCAGTGCTGCCGTAGGACGGGGCTGATGGCGTCGTGGAGATTGTGTTGGGATGCACCGCGGAGGGGCTGCTCTTCCCCCTGCAGAATTCCTCAGGGTCTCTCCCTTCCTCTCTGCTTCTGAGGGTGGGTCCTGTGGCTGGTCAGGCCTTGTCAAAAGCTGTTTTTGCCTCATGCAGAACTGCAGGCTTGCTCTCACCCTCTCCCCGCCTCCCTGTCTTCTCCATCCTGGGCAGCGGGCACAGGGAGACAGCTTGGATGGACTCTCCAGCAGTGTCTGGGCTGCAGCCCTTCCCCTGGTGCCTCCGTGTGCTCAAGCACAAAGAATTGGAAGTAAGGCAGCCTTACTTTTTGTCGCAAATTCAGTGTCACAGCTCTGAGCCAGTTCCCTGGGTAGGGTTCCGGCAGGACCAGAAGACACAACTTAGATGGCTGCTCTTTGATGCTGTCCCCCACCCCGCTGGGGTGACAGAATATCTCCCTGGCCGCATGCTCAAGGCAGCCTGTGGTCCTCATTCAGTACCCAGCCTCTTCGGAGACTACCATCCTTGGCTCTCAGGTGAGGGGAAGGTTAACAGCACGTGGCCTCCCACCCATCCACACTCTCCCCCCTAAGCCTGAGGAGGTCGTCTTGGGTTCCCAAATGCTGATCTGTGAGGACCCCCTTCAAGCTCTGCCAGTGGCCCCTAATCTTCAGACCTAAGCTGCCCCCTGAGCCCCAGCTCAGCCCCCCCACCCTCTTCCTTTTCCCCACCTGTGCCCAGACACCCCACCCCCTTTCTTGCCTCCTCTGGGGCCCTTTTGCTCTTCCCTTGGCCTCTAATCCCTTTCCTGCTTGGATGTCTGGACATTTTCTTCTTACTCTGGAAGACTCAATTTGGTCTCCCTCCCTCAGGAAGCTTCTGGAACTCCCGTGGTCCTGTTCTGCACAGAGTTCATTGGTACAGTTAGGCATCACCCAACTGCATCTGGCTCCTGTCAGACTTCGCGCCTGGCAGGGCAGATGCGCTCTGGCGGCCTTGCCTGGCTCAGCCTAGCAGGCCGCCAGTGAGCAAGTGGCCACTGAGGGCCGAGGCCACCTCACAGCTGAGGGGAAGCCTGGAAGCGTTCCTGAGCGTTTTCTGTGTTCCTCTTGCAAATAGTTAAATGTGTGTAGTCAATGCTTTTGGCTATTTTTCTTCCCTGTGCTCATGCTCTCTGTTGAGGGTCCTGAGGTGAGGAGAGCTGATGTGTTTACCCCTCTCTCTCTCTCTCTCTCTCTCTCTCTCTTTCTCTTTCTTTTTCCTTCCTTCCTCCCTCCCTCCCTCCCTCCCTCTCTCCCTCCCTCCCTCCTTCTCTCCCTCCCTCCATCCCTCTCTCCCTCCCTCCCTTTTTCTCTTTTTCTCTCTATTTTCTTTTCCTTTTTATTTTATTTTCTTTCTTTCTTTCAATGGAGTTTCGCTCTTGTCACCCAGGCTGGAGTACAGTGGTGTGATCTCAGCTCACTGTAACCTCTGCCTCCCAGGTTCAAGTGATTCTCCTGTCTCAGTCTCCCAAGTAGCTGGGATTACAGGCCTATGCCACTATGCCTGGCTAATTTTGTATTTTTAGTGGAGACGGGAGTTTCTCCTGTCTGGTCAGGCTGGTCTTGAATTCTAGGCCTCCCAAAGTGCTGGGATTACCAGCGTGAGCCACCGCGCCCGGCTTGTTTACCTCATTCTTACAGCAGTGCCCAGCACTGCTGAGGGAAATGTTACAAGACAGTAAATTCCTGGGAGTCTGGCAGTTCCTCCCACCTTAATCCCCGACAGGAGCTGGGGAGATGGACAGAACTGACGTTTCTTTTTCTAGTTCCTTTGACATGTTTTCTTTGTCCTTGTAAAGATGTTTTTACAGTTGAAAAGCATTTTTCTTAATTCTCTTTGTTGGGGTTCGATGCTGAAGGCATGATCCGGGCACACTGAGAAAGAATATTTGGATCATCTGCCGTCTCCAGGCCTCCCAAATGTGCGAAGTCCCAGCAGAACTGGGATCAAGGACCAGACCAGGCACGGTCTTCAGGGGTTGATGGGCTCAGATGCCCCTGAGAACTCTGTCCTGGCTGTGTGAGAATCTTTGGGTGGGGAGTTGAGGAATCCAGACAGAGCTCCAGTGATGTAGCCAAGAAGGCACAACTTTTTGGAAAAACGTTCCAGCTGTCATCTTCCTGGGCACCAGAACCTCTGTCCTGAAGCCACGCCTTGGACTGGCCCCATCTTGGGCTTTGTCCCGTGTTCTGGTTTTAGGACCCAGAAGGAGATGGCGCTGTGAATCAGAATGCAGCTAAGGAGCCCCAATGCCCCCTGGGACCCTCAGAGGGTGACCTGGGGGTGGGGGCATGGGAGGAGATCGTTACCATGCCTTCTTGGTGGAGGCTGCTTCCTTGCTTGGCTGGGGAAGCAGGTTGGAGGGCTCTCCCCAGTCCTTAAAGCTTACACCATGAAGGGTCCCACTACTCCTGGGGAACAGCGCCCGGAAGAAGGGACAGAGAGTCACTTCTGAGCCAGTGCTAGTGACGGTGCCAAACCTTCTTTTCTTGTGCACCAGAACCCTCCACCACTATTGGGAATGCTTTTCAAGAAAATAAATCTGCTTCTTGCAGCTGAATTAAGAATTTGACAAGCAGGAGGAATCTTGGGACTCTGAGCTCTTTGAAGTAAAAGAAACCACAGGGAGCTAACAGCTGCACCTAGGATGAGTTGACTTTTCTCTGCCCTTTAAAAAGCCCAGAAGCAAAGGAGGAGGAAAATCCCATTGAATTCCAGTAGCCTTGGGACCCTGACCCCGAGGAGATAGGGGTCTGTAGACCCTGAGCCGGGTGGACCCTGGCACTGCACGAGGGCTGCCCAGGGCTGGGAAGGATGTCTGCAGGTGGCAGAGGTAGGCTGAGGACGACCCAAGTGTGGCCCTCCAACCTGCCATCCATGTGGCTGTGGGAATGCCTGGCCTCTGGGAGCTTTGGTTTCTTCTTCGCAAGCCTGGACCATCTTCTTGGAAGGACTGTTGTGTGGGAAACCCAGCAAAGAGAGTGCCCTCCTGCTCTGCTGGTGTTTGGAGGCTTCCAGCCATCCCCACCACACCCATCTGCCACCAGTGGGCCGGTGGGACAGCGTGTGTTAGAGGAGGAAGCATGGAGGGGTCCTGGAATCACCGCTGAGCCATCCTCCCTTTCCCCCAGAGGCTTCCTGGCCCGCACAGAGGGGCAGGCGACCTCAATTCTGCCCCTCTGGGAACCCTTTGGGTTTGTAGAGTCCTAGGTTCAGGCCCCACCCCTGCCTCCTAAGAGGCTGGAGTGGATCCTCAGCCTCGGACAAGTGTGTCCTTTCCAAGGCTGTGTGACCTCAGCTTGGATGGTGATTGTCTCCTCATCTTACAGAGAGAATTAAATGGGACAGCGCTTGGGCACAGTGTCAGCTGCTCCTGCCCCCCAACTTCTATAGCTAATCGGTGAAGTGGACCTGCAGGCTTCTCTGGGCCTCTTACCCCGGACACAGCCAGAAAGATGACTGTCTTTGAAAAGTGAGGCCAAGGGTCCCAGGAGGTCCCAGAGAGTGCCAGGAGCACAGACAGCTGGCACCCAGTGGCTCCTCAGGGTTCTCTCCCATCTCAAGCAAGAGGGACACTCGGGCCTTCGGGACAGGGCTCCCTGGCAGCCCTGGTCTAGGGAAGGGGTGGATTCCTCACTTCTGGCCCACTGCCCAGGACGGAGCAGTCTTGACTCTCATAGGACACTGTCACCCGGGGCTGCTGTGTTCATGATATGTATTCACACCACATCAGGGCTGGTCTGTCCAGGCCTGCTAGACGGGGACACACCCACCCCAGGGGCTCATGATGTCAACCTTCCCTGAATTGTCACCCTGCCTCCCTGTGGCTTCTGGCCGACACTGTGGCCAGCTTTCCCATCCTGTTGTGTCCCTGCTTGAGATGCCAGGCCTCCAGACTTGGCATCCGTGTTCAGCTGTGGGCATCTGGCACTGACCGAAGCTGCCGTTCCCCTGGGTGGAGGACAGAGCAACAGCCTGTGGAAACCCATGCCCTACCCCCAGCCATGACGGGGCAGTCAGCCGGCCCCATCCCCACCCTAGCCATCAGGTCTCGCCGCCTTTCCATCCTGGCAAAGGCACTTGAGTAGGGTAGGCGTCCGAGGGGCCTGGATGTTAGTGACTGAGTCAAGCCAGGGTGTTGTCGTCACAGCAGGATCGAGCCAGTGCCCTGGAGAGCCAGGGACAGCACCGCGTGTCTCTACCATTCCTGCTGCGTCTGCCACCTCTGCTGTGGCCAAGTCCTGACACTGAGCCCACAACCAGCTGGGGCCAGCAGGGTTTCCAGGGATCCCTTGTTGTCTGTCAGTGCTCCTGCTGCCACTGGCTTGGGTTTGTCTGAGAACTCGGCCAGCAGGAGGGGTCTGTGCTCTGCTCTCAAGCCTCCCAGCCCTGGCGATGCTCTTGGTCCCTTCTGATAGGCTCCTGCCCCTGCAAGCCTCACTGACTCCTCTCTCGGCTACTTTGCCCCCAGGAGATGGCAGCGGAAAAGGCCAAAGCGGCAGCTGGGGAGGCCAAGGTGAAAAAGCAGCTGGTGGCCCGGGAGCAGGAGATCACGGCCGTGCAGGCGCGGATGCAGGCCAGCTACCGGGAGCACGTGAAGGAGGTGCAGCAGCTGCAGGGCAAGGTGGGCAGTGGCTGGTGGGGGCACGGGAAGGGACAGGGCCCAGTCCCAGACAAGCATGGAGAAAGCCAGAAAGGCCCAAAGGGCGAGGCATAAGGAGGGTGTTGAGGATGCCCACGAGGGTCTGCAAGGTCTGGTCAGGGTTAGGGGTCCAGGGGCTGTTGTGTTTGGCCGGACAGTATCTGGCAGCCCACTGTGTGTGTATCCTGTTAATAGCCAGGGAGGTATGAAATACATTTTAAAGAGGTCTTTTCAAAAGAACCCACCCTCAAATGGCCAGCCCTGTTTCCCTACCTCCTGTGGGTCTGAGGGTCAAGTTCTCACCCTTGACATGAACCCGGAGAAATGCTGGGTCTATCTTCTTTCCACATGGTTGGGAGGATCCCATAATACCAGAGGCCTGAACATTGCACAGCTCCAGTGTGGGGCTCCAGGCCAGCACTGGGCGACTGTCCAAACTGGCCCTGTAGTCAGAGGCTGATCCCTGCCTTCTGAAACCTGCACCCTTCTCATAGTGGGCTGCAGCCTCCTCCCTGCCTCAGGAGGTGCTGGAGGTCAGAGGGCAGGAAACTAGGCTTCCTCAGGGGGGTCAGAGGCTGTGGCCATGTGCTTTGTCTTAGAACAGTCAAGCATGTGACCTTGGGGGCAGATGTTCATGGAGCCTGTCAGACTCTGGGCTGAGTGTTCAGTTTTGGGCAGGCCAGGAGCAGTGAGGAGGGAGAGAGGAGTGTTGCTGGGTATGGGCAGAGGTTGGGGGGCGGGGGTCATGCTTGGCCCCAAGCCCCTGATGATGGAGCCTTGCAATGTTCAGGCCTCTTGTTTTATGGGATCCTCTCAGCTTCCACGTGGAAAAGGTGGAGGCTTCTGGGGGTTTTCTCTTGTGGGCTGTGTCCTTGCTAACCCTGACTCAGAACTCAGTTTTATGTGTGAGGCCAAGCTGCCTCTGATGCCCTCACCCATGACTTTTCAGATCCGGACTCTTCAGGAGCAGCTGGAGAATGGCCCCAACACGCAGCTGGCCCGCCTGCAGCAGGAGAACTCCATCCTTCGGGATGCCTTGAACCAGGCCACGAGCCAGGTGGAGAGCAAGTAAGCTGAGCATTCCCCCCTCGGCACCTCCCCAAGGGCTCTGGAGCCAGGAAGGCTTCACAAGGCTGCGGCCGGGGCAGTTGACGTGAGAGCCAGTCACGGGCCCACCATGTATGCCGGTGGCTGCCTGTGCAGCTCCACTTTCTCCCCACATGGAGCCGCTCCAGCCCTCCATCTCCTGTCTGAGTCTTCCAAAAGGTGGCCCAGCGTCCCTGCGGTGGCCGGGGGTGGGCCTCGACTGTGCCCTGGAGCATGGCCTCCTGTTCTGCGGCACTCTTGCTTCAGATGCGCTGGTGCTAGGGAGGGTTTCCAGCACACAGGCCCCACCCGCCTAGCGGGGCTCTCATCTCAGTGTTGTCGCTGAGTCTCTGAAGCACTGGAGCCCACAGCGAGGGGGCCGGAGGGTGCACTTTCCCTCTGGAGGGACGTACAGGAAGTGCACTTCCGCTTCCTGACTGGAGCATTTCACCCTCAGCAGTGGCCCTCGAGAAACCCTTTGGTAGGCCTGGGCCTGCGCATGACTTTGCCTTCTCTGGGCTTGAAGTGTCCTGCAGGGACTTGGCAGACCTCTGTGTTGCTCCAGAGCCTCTGCTCTCACCAAGAGAAAGGTTGACGTCAGAGCATGCCAGCACCCTCAGTCCTTGTGCTGGGAGTTGGGTTGGGGGAAGCCCAGCATGGGAGCGGGACAGGGAGGGGAGCCAGGCTGTGTGTCTGTTTTGCCTGTGGCTCCCTCTGGCGTGGAGTGAGAGATCCAGCGGCCGCTTCCCCTCTACCGGTCCCCTGTGGGTGTGCGTGTGCACACATCTTCCCTTTCCTGACCCATTGGCTGCTTGGAGGTTTGTGGCTGCTGTTTCCTCAGAAGCCACAGCAGAAGGCAAATGTGGGGACTGAGAAATGCTCTGGTATCATAGGGTCTGCTGTGGCCTCCTTACTGGGGAAGTCTCTGAAGCCAGGAGACTTGTCATGCTGAGGCAGTGGCCCTGTCAGTCCAGAAGGTCTGGCTGGTGGGTGGCTCTCACCAGCGGGATGTGTTTTGCCAGGCCCACTTCAGAGCTTCCAGTCCATCTCGAGGGCGCCACCTGGCCTGCCACCTCCCTCCTAGGCCGCTTGAATCCTGGCCATGTGAAGCATGGAGCTGATGGCCCTGCATTGGGCTTTGGTGCTGCCTCCCCAGTACAGATGAGGCAGCCCCTGAGTCAGAGAGGTGGGACCCACCACCCGCCAGGCAGCAGAGCGACGCTAGCCTCAGCCAGATGTCCCAGCTCTGCCTGGCCTGGTGCTGCGTCCCAGGGTTTGGGACAGTCTTGTCTGGTGGTGTCCCTCAGGTGTCCCAGCTCCGCCTGGCCTGGTGCTGCATCCCAGGGTTTGGGACAGTCTTGTCTGGTGGTGTCCCTTGGCTGGACAGTCAGTCCTTGGCCTTGAGGCAGTGTCTGCTAGTGAGGGAGTGGCATCCTGATCACACGCCTCACACTGGAAAGGCAGGCCTCCAGCTGCCTCCTTTTCCTTTAAGTCTCCTGTAACTCTGGAACATTCCTCCCAGCTCCTGAGACCCAGCTTTTGAAGTGCAGTCCGAAGGGTTTGTTTTGTAAGCACCTCAGGCTCTGGCTTCGGGCAGCCTCCCCAGCCTGGCCCTGGTCCAGTTGGCCAGTGAGGGGCCGCGTGGACTCTGGGCTGCTGCCTGCAGGCCTACAGAGGGTCAAGGCGGGTGGATCTTCATCTCAGGCCTGGTTTGCACCCAGAACAGTGTGTTGCCTTTTTCTGTGAATTTCTGGCTGTTTCTGGGAGGGGCTCCCCTGGACGCTTTAGTGCACGTTTGCTCTATGCTGTCTCTAGTTCATGTGCTATGTGGGTAAAACAATGTCTTTAACAAAACAGATGCCAAAACCCTACAGCTGATAATGCAAAAGTATCTTTGGTAATGGCTTCAGGACTTGGGTAACTATTGACAAGAGAGCTGGAGTCCTGCGGGGAAGGCTCAGACCACAGATCTGATCACCTTTTGCTTTCTGTCAGTCGGGCTGGTGATTGTCTTACAGGCAGAACGCGGAGCTGGCCAAGCTCCGGCAGGAGCTCAGCAAGGCCAGCAAAGAGCTGGCGGAGAAGTCGGAGGCTGCACGGCAAGATGAGCAGCAGCGGAAAGCTCTGGAAGCCAAGGCAGCTGCCATCGAAAAGCAGGTCCTGCAGCTGCAGGTGAGTTGGGGTGGTGGCCACCTCAGTGCCCCGTTTGCTGCCCAGCAAGCCTGTCTGCATAGTGGGGTTGGGCCCAGGCTGGCCCTGCCATACTGGGCACCCACCTCTAGCCTTGACTGGGACAGGTGGTGGTTTCTGCAGGCTTGAACTCCTCACCTTGGTCTCGTTGGTAGTAGTGATAGCTGGCATCAAGTGGGTGCTTTCTGTGCACTAAGCGCTGTTCTGAGCATTTTACAAGTATTAACTCAGCCATTTCTCCTTGTAACTCTACGAGGTAGGCAGTGGTAGTGTCTGCGTTTTTACCCATAAGGGAGTTTGAGACACGGAGAAGTTCAGCACCTATCTCAAGTTCACACAGCCAGGACATGGCAGAGGCAGGATTTGAACCCCGAGTCTTACTCTGGAGCCGTGTTTTTCTTCCCATATTTGCCCTCACTGTGGTCCTGCAGCTCTGGAGCAGCCAGCTGAGCCCACAGTCTATGGACGCAGCCTCTGGCTTCAAGGCCAGGTGGGATTTCTTCTTTCTCAGCTCTGGGTGTGGCCTGGAGGCCTGTTTTCCCGGGAGGGTGCCTGTTCTCCTTCAGAGGGAGGAAGATTGTCCCCAGAGAGCACTGGGCAGCATGCAGTTTGTTTTCCTAGCCCAGAGGCCTTGCCTGATGACTTCCCACCTAGCCTGTGTTGGGCAGGTGGACCCTGAGTAGGGCTGTTACCCTAGGCATGAGGCACCTTGAGGTCATGCCCACTTTGGGTTTAACTTTCCAGGATAATGAAGATACCCCAGTGACCCCAGGAGCTTTGGGCCTTTTTTCTGCCCCACCATTGAAACCAGGCTGTAGTGTGTGGGGGCATTAGTGCTGCCTCTTGGAAGGAACTAGAACAGACACAAAATTTTAAGAGTGATATTTGAATGTGTACAAGGACTAAAAGAGAACATGGACAAAGAAACAGAGTTTGAATTGGGGTGGAATTGAGATGGATAATTTGGTGCTTTCTGATGGCCATATAAACCAGACCCACTCAGAATAGTGAGAAGATGAGAAGCTGTGGGGTAGGCCTGCCTATGGTTAAGTTTTAAAGGCTCCCGGATGATTGTGGCTTATCTGGGCCTGGGCCTGCGCTCAGTTTGTCACCATCACGTGTCATTCTATGAAGGATCCAGCCAGGGCCCACAGCCTCCCAGTTTCTCCTGCCCTCTCTGGCCTCAGGGCGCTTGTCCACAGCCTGGGGCTGGGCACAGGATTCTCTGCTCTCCAGCCTGACACCAAAGATTCTGTGCCTGTCACTTCTCTGATTGACAGTGAAGCCCTTGGTGCCAGCTGCTGGGTTCAAGTCCCAGCTCTGCCACCACCTAGCAAGTTATTTCGGAGCCTCAGTGTCCCCATCTATACTGTGGGCAGGACAATAGGTACTGTCCTGCAGGGTGACTGTGGGATATGCTGTTTCCCACAGAGTGCCTAGGACGTAGATCAGTGCCTTGCAGAAAAAGAGCTCAGTGGACGTGAACTTTGCAAAATTTTATTGAAGAAATCTCCAGGTTAGACTGGTGGTTGAGGTTGTAGAAAATGTCTCTGTTTTTTGCTATTGTGAAAATGGGGCTCTTCCCATACTGTGACTGTCCTTCACCTGAGGCCCTTTCACTGCCAGCCAGCTCTGCAGGGATGAGGGCGGGGATGGCCTGTGCTGACCTTGGGTCCTGGAGCGTGGGCATCTCCCTGATGCCAGCACTGGCATCAGGCAGTGGGGGGCAGGGCATCTCACTGATGCCAGTGCTCCAGGCCTGTCTTGCCCCTGACAGCCTCTTGGGACCTACTTGGAAGAAAGTACCCATTGAAGGTGCTGATGACACCCCTCTGGAAGTACTGAGTTTTAGAAATCTAGGAGGGTCTTATAAAAGTCCTCAGCTGGCCTGCCCAGCCAGGGGACCCCCCCCTCTGAAATCGTTCAGCGTGACTGGTTGTGCTAATGACATTCTCTTCAAGGCAAAGACAGTTGTTATCTCAGGTCTTAAGGAGGCACATGGATTCCGTGACAGATTTTGTTTTGGGTTCCTAAAGGTGGGTGGGTTTTTGTTTGCTTGTTGCTGGAACCAGTGTTCTAACTAATGTTGGTAACAAACAGAGGAACATGTGTGGTCAGTCTCCCTGCGGTCTGAGCTGGAGTTTCTTTTCTTAACAAAAAAAAGCAGCAGCAGCTGGAGTGTTTTCTCCCAGTTGTGCAATGACCCTGCTCTAAGTGTCTTGGTCAAGGCACTTGAGGGTGTTGGAGCCAATGGGTGCAAGGCAGGCAGGCTCCTGCCAAAGATACTTGGCAGAGGAGGAGCAGGTGTGAGTTCTGGGAGCAGCTTGCAGTCATTCCTTTCTTTCCTTTCTTCCCTTGGAGCTTGAACTGAGTGATCCCCTGCTACATTCCAACGTGGAAGCACTGCCCATCCTAAAGCCAGCCCCAGTGTTCACTGCACAGCACACGTGAACCACGGCCTCGTGGCCGCGTCCTTGGCGATGGCTTCACTGGCTCCAGCTGCGCCTCTGCCTAGATGGCGCTCACCTGAGCAGTAACCAGGGTGTGCAGCCGTTGCCCTAAAAGAAAATGAGAGCGGATATGGATGGGATCAGCTTGGTAAAGGCGCTGATGAGGGTAACACAGAGCCTCCTCATCAATAGCGGTCATCTGTGGGTGCCCCCCCTACCTGGTTCTGCTCCAAGACAAGCTTGTTAGTGAATAATCAGTGGTCGGATTTTTTGAAGAACTGAGCTCTAGAGGGCTGGTTAAATGGAGACCTTGACTAGCACTTCCGCCCAGTGTGTGGAATCCTTTACAGGTGGATGAGGGTGTCCTGGGGCGCATCGATTGGGACTGCCAGGGTTGACAGCAGCCGGCCTGGCGCTGAGCTGGTAACTGGGCAAACATCAAAGCTCTGTGTGGCTCCTAAACAAGGGCGCAGTGGACCTGTCTGCCCTGAATGAGGAAATGACTCAGATACTTTAGAACCATGTGAAATTGCCATTCTTGTAGGTAAAAATGGTCGAATGCTGACAGTTTCATGGGGTTCAACCTAATATTAACTGAAGAACTAAGAGTGCTGCCCTGGAGCGTGAACGCAGTGGTGCACTGTGCGTGCGTGCATGTGTGTGTGTGTGTATGTGCGTGTGTGCATGCATGCATGTGTGTGTGTTTGTGTGAGATGCGTGGAGCTGCAGCGGGGAGACCCACCAAGCTGCCTGCCTCTGGGAGAAGAATTGAGGACTGCATTGGGAAGTGTCACTGGTTTACTCTGAATCGGTATCTTTGGACTCTTGCAGTAAGCACGTCTTTATGAATCCCTTGAGAATGTGAAAATGGGGACTCAGAAAAGAAGTAGGAAGTGAGTGTGGGTCCGTGGCAGCTGCTGGCTGAGGTGAAACCTGTGCACATTCTGGGATGCATTTCCTTCCTGCATGAACCAGAGACCGCACAGGGCTTTGGTGGGGTAAAGATCTCTGTCCGCCTCCACCACAGAGCTGATGAGAGCCTGGTCCTTCCACGTCCTCACCACCCCACTCCCCTGCCTGTCCCCAGGCATCCCACAGGGAGAGCGAGGAGGCCCTGCAGAAGCGCCTGGACGAGGTCAGCTGGGAGCTGTGCCGCGCGCAGGACAGCCATGCCAGCCTCCGGGCGGACGCTGAGAAGGCCCAGGAGCAGCAGCAGCAGATGGCCGGTGAGGGTGGCGGCAGGGGGGCCCAGGGTCAGTGCAGGGTGCAGGGTGCAGGGTCTGCCCACTGGCCCAGCCCCACTGCCAGTGCCAAAGTGGGTTAGACCTGTTGGAGTGAGGGCAGCACAGATTCCCTGACTGCCCCTCAGAAAGTCAAAAAGCAGGAGATTATTCCTGGTCAGGGGACCAGTGGGAGTTGGGGGGGATGCAGCCAACCTTTAGGTGCTGCCAGGGATGCGGGGGTGGAGCCTGTGAGGGCGGGGCCTACAGGGCCTAGAAGTGGAGGCAAGGCCTTGTAAGGGCCTGGTGTGGTGGGCAGGGCCTATGGGGGTGGAAGGCACCACCTCCTTCCCAAGCCTGGGTCCCCACTGGCTGTGGGTGAGCCAAGGAGGTACTGAGGCATCTCATCTAAACGTGTGTTCTGGGCCTTTCTCCTCTCCCAGCTCAGTCAACCCAAGAGGCCAGGCAGGATTTACAAGCCTGTGGTTCCCTTGCACCACAGTTGATCATGGAAAGGGTGACAGGGATGGGGGGCCAAGAGCCCCTGGAGAAAGGGGGCCAAAGGTGCCAGTGAGAGGCTTGAAGCCCTTGGCTCACCAGTGCTTCCTGAGTTACTCCCCAGGCCAAGCATCGCCATGGATGCCCGGGCTGGGCTGGGCTGGGCTGGGCTGAGGGGTGCACGGCAGAGTCACCTGCAAGGACAGGGTTACACTGCAGGACCCTCACAGGGACTGTGTTCAGAGCAGGGTCAGCAGATGTTTCTGTGAAGGGATGGATGGTGAATGCTTCTGGCCAGTCTCTACCACAGTGGGTAAAATTGCCCATTAACCAGTGAACAGAGGGGCCTGGTTGAGTTCAAAGAAAGCTTCACTGATGTCACTTAGAAAAACGGAGGTTGGAAGGCACAGCCCTAGCTTACCGGCCCCTGCTCCTGAGAGCTAGGTGTAGCTTTAGATTGGGTGGTCCTGGAGGCCTCTCTGAGGCAGGAGGGGGATGCATGGTGGAGGCCAGCACAGGGCCCAGGGGTGAGGATGAACGGACTCGGCCTGTGTGAGAAATGGGCTAACAAGCGTGGCTGGAGGGAGAAGGCTGGTGGTGGGCAGGGCCAGGTCACCCTCCCTCTCAGGATCTTGAGTACTGTGGAAAGTGTGACAGAGCACTGGGGACAGGGAAGGAAATTGTCTCATGTGCTTCTGGACACATGGTGGAGAACAGACCAGAGGGGCAGGAGTGGCCCAGGAAGACCAGGACTGAGGCCTTGCAGCTGTCGAGGCCCCAGGCAACAGGGCAGGGCCCAGGCAGCTGCAGAGCTGCTGGTGAGGGCGACTTGGCAGATGGCTGGTGTGGCCTCATAGGCTTCGGCAGTGGGTGAGAAAGGAAGATGAGGAGTCTGGGAGGTCAGGATGCTGGGTTTGCCTTGTCTAAGTAGAGCTTCATTTAGAAGTGGCAGGTGGGAGAGCCTGGGGTTGGGGAGAGTGCAGTGTCACAGGCACGAGGATGACAGACCCACGGGACTGTCTGAGGGTGTCTCCGAGGCACAGGACTGTCTGAGGGTGTCACCTAGGGAGGAGGGCACCTCAAGGGGAGAAAGGGCCCCAGGGCAGAAAAGTCACCCCCTGGCCTTTCTTGACAACACTGAGAAGAGGTTTGGGGGTGTGGGGGGCACCCAGTCAGGGAGTTGAGGGAGGTATGGCCAGTGGTGTCCACTTAGTCACTTTCTAAAAAACTTCTGGTCTTAGCAAGTATGAGTCAGAGTCTTCTAGAAGATGAATCTTTAAAAGCCCCAGCTGGAGTCCATTTCCAGTCTCCATTGTCTTCCATGAGTGGCTGAGAGCATTTTATTCTACCCTGACGGTTCTCAGGAATGAGGCCAGAGTGGCACTTCCCTGAACAGCTAACAAGAGGCCCTGGTGGTCAGTATGATGTCTTAAGAGCCCCAGGCACACAGAGGAGGCAGAGGAAGCCACCGGTGCCCACGAGTGTAAGAGGGCAGCAGTCAGCGCATGCCCCAGCAGGGTTTCTAGCCTCTTCACTTAGCTCCTTTTTCTTCCTCCACACCAGAGCTGCACAGCAAGTTACAGTCCTCCGAGGCGGAGGTGCGCAGCAAATGCGAGGAGCTGAATGGCCTCCACGGGCAGCTCCAGGAGGCCAGGACGGAGAACTCCCAGCTCACAGAGAGAATTCGGTCCATCGAGGCCCTGCTGGAGGCGGGCCAGACGCGGGACGCCCAGGACACCCAGGTCAGCCTCCTTCCTGGGGCCACAGGGAGGAAAGGGAACTCGATCCAGCAGGTAATGGGTGGACTAGCCCCGCTGCATGAGGTGAGTCTCCTGGAGACCAAGGACTTTTTCTCTCATTCCAGGCCAGCCAGGTGGAGACTGACCAGCAGCAGACCCGGTAAGCTGGGGAGCAGCAGGAGCACCCAAAGATACTTGGGGGCTGGAGTTTTCAGAAGGGTGCTCGGGTCCTCTGCAGAAGAGCCCCTTTCAAGATCCCTTCCCTCTCCCACCCTCCCAGTGATTTAGAGGACAGGGGACAGGCCTGGGCAGAAAAGAGCTCCATGATCACACTCAAGGAGACTCAGCTCGGGTGGGAGCACCCCCTCCCACCTACCATCTGTCCGTCCATCCACCCTTCCATCTCTCTGTGGGGAGAGACTGACTGGTCAGAGTTTCTGTGTCCACAAGCAAGGAATTTAGGGGCTGAGATCAGTAAGTCTAACAGGAAAAATGGTTGCACAATGCAGCAGCGAACCCAGGCCTGCTGCTGGAGCACAGGTTTGAGGCGTTGGGGCGGAGCTGGCAGTGTCTCGGGGTGATTTTCCTCCATCTGTGAGGTGGCTTCACTGCTGGCCAAACCTTGTTTTCCCTCCATGTCAGCAGCACCAGTGCCAGGCCGTGCTCGGGGAGTGCTGGTTTGCTGTTGCTAAGGCCGGAACCAACACCTGGGTGGGGTGGCTTGAGTCAGGGGCTGGAGTCCTTGTGACAGTCACTTCTGGGGCTTGCATCCGTAGCACATGCCCACAGGCCCGGGAGGCAGGTCCTGGCCACCATGAGGTCCACGCCACAGCATGTGGGGGACGCACGGAGGGTGTCGTGCATTCCGTCACACACTGTCAGATGGGTCCTAGGCCACCAGCTCAGAAGGCTCTCTTGTCCTGGTCCTCGTCATCAAAGAAGCACCTCACTATGTGCTTCTCAGCAGAGACAGCTCCCCAGGCCACAGTCCATGTTCTGCGGCTTGGGGACTGGGAAAGGTAGCCAGCCACCCTGAGGGCCCAGAATGACCCACAACCATATATTGTCCACCTTCCTTTCCCAGTCCCGGTGGTGGTGGTTGGGGTAGAGGTGGTTTTGTCCTTGAATTTTAAGATCAGATCTTGGGGCACAGAGCATATTACTGGGATAATCAACTCATGCTGCAAATAGCATCAGTTTGAATTTTTTCATCATGGAGATGTGTTCGCAGAAATTGGTTGTCGTATTTCCTTCTCAGCTGATCTGAAAGTTGGGTGAGGGCTGGGCCACCCTGCTCTGGAGTAGAGAGGAGCAGTTCAGTCCCAGATATTCTGGAACTCGGGCAGTGGCCACCAAGGGTGTGATTGTCGGTGTGTCCTTGCCAGTGGTCTGCTGATGCCTCTTCCTCAGGGTCTCATTCTGTTGGGCATGCTCTTGGGGCGGTTTGCTGGAGGTGGCTGTCACATGATGCGGGGAGTGGCGGGAAAAGCTGTGAGGGTCCCAGGAGAGCTTTGAGGACAGGGTCATGCTTCTGCTTCTCCTGAAAACCCAACTCTCCAGGGTCTCCAAGTGGGACTCTGGTGATAGCTCTGGGGTCAGTGCTCTGGATGGGTGGGAGGAGAGGGGGTTTGGGAGCTGCTCAGGCTTCCCTGGGAGCTTGCGCTGGGTGAGGTGGGGGCAGCCAGAGGGGGACTGTCCCTGGCCAGATGGCTTGGCCTCAAAGGTGCTTTTCCTTAGGTGGGGCCTCAGGTGGGATCTGTGGGGACTGTAGCCCCTTGGAGCCTGGACAGTGACCTCACTGTGTTCCCTCAGCCTGAAGGAGCTGGAGTCCCAGGTGTCGGGTCTGGAGAAGGAGGCCATTGAGCTCAGGGAGGCTGTCGAGCAGCAGAAAGTGAAGAACAATGTGAGTGCAGTAGGCACAGGCAGGGGACGGCCCAGCCAGGGCAGCACGGGTGGGACCGGGAAAGGTTCGCTGTGTGGCACCCACCCCAGACTCAGGGGAGGGCCGAGCTTGTGTCTCTACACCCCATTGTGCTGTGGAGGTCCAGGGTGTGAGGAGTGCTTCTGCTAACCCCTGAGTTCCACCAAAGACCCAGGGCTGACTGCCTGTGGATCAGCCTGCGCCTCTTGCTCAAGTGTGGAGTCATCCCTGGGGTGGGGAGAGTGTGCTGTTGGCTTGGCCTGAGTCACGTGGTCGTCCGAAGTGGGGATCCTGGACCCAGAGACGGGGTGTAGAAGCTGGGCAGGTGGTGTGCCCGCTGTCCTGGTGTGGCCTCGGCCATACCCTCCTGCTCCCTTCTCACAAGCCAGGCTTGCCGGCTGGCCCAGTTGCTCCCTGCAGAGGCTGCAGCTTCCCAAGGAAGGCCCCAGCTTAGGCCTCCCTGTGCCAGGCTTCGCCAGAGCGGGCCCAAGGATCAGCACTAGCCGTTTGGTGGCAGGAAACTCTTCCCTCTGAGGACACAGGCTGGCCCTCCCTCTTCCCACTGGCTGGTGGTGTCTTCATTGAAAGGGTGGTACTTCTTCACCTGTGCCACACCGCCCACCTGTTCCACACCGCCCACCTCAGGCTGCGGCACCCGGGCCTTGTGTTCAGGCACCATGGTCATGGGCCAAGTAAAGGGCATTTTGTCCTGTGGCAGGTCCTTTCTGGGTCAGGGTGGCATCAGGGAGGGTCTCTGGGCCCTGCTCTGGCTGAGACCAGCTTAGGCAGCTTGTGAGGGATGTGTCAGTAACTGACCAGCACGGGCTGATGAGCTTTCCCCTGTGTCCCCTCCAGGACCTCCGGGAGAAGAACTGGAAGGCCATGGAGGCGCTGGCGACGGCCGAGCAGGCCTGCAAGGAGAAGCTGCACTCCCTGACCCAGGCCAAGGTCAGAGCCTGCCACACTCAGACCCCCGCCGCTCAGAGTGCACCAGGATGCACAAATGCACTAAGACATATAGACTCACTAGGACACACAGATGCACTAAGACGTACAGACACACTAGGACGCACGGGCACAACGGGACACACAGATGCACCAGGACGCACGGACGCACCAGGATGCGCAGAGTGCACTACGTGCTCACAGAGTGGCTTTGGCCTCAGAGCCCCTGAGTCCACACCAGACCCTGGCTCTACATCTGCCTCGCCCACTACGTCTTTCCCTGCCCTCCCCCGCTTGATTGTTTGCGCCTTTCCCTAAGAGAGGGATGGGGGTGCCCCCTTGATGAGCTTCTTTGTGCTGGTCCCTCTGGCTGAGCGTGCAGAGCTGCTGGAGTGGGACTGGAGGTGAGTGAGCCTGAGGCTGCACTGCCTCTGTGACCTTTCTCAGTGTTATTTCTGTTGTGTGGCCTTTTGTCAAGGTAATCCTGCTGTTTTGGCCACTGAGGTCATGGCCCAGGGGGTTCCGTGAGGAGACTTTTTTTTTTTTGAGAGGAGGTCTTGTTCTGTCACCCATGCTGGAGTGCAGTGGCACGATCTCGGCTCACTACAGTCTCCACCTCTGGGTTCAAGTGATTCTCCTGCCTCAGCCTCCCAAGTAGCTGGGACTACAGGTGTGCACTACCATGCCCAGCTAATTTTTGTATTTTCAGTAGAGATGGAGTTTCACTATGTTGGCCAGGCTGGTCTTGAACTCCTGACCTCATGATCCACTCACCTCAGTGGTGGGATTACAGGCACGAGCCACTGCGCCTGGCCGTTTTTGTTTTTGTTTTTGTGAGACTGAGTTTCACTCTTGTTGCCCAGGCCGGAGTGCAGTGGCGCGATCTCAGCTCACCACAGCCTCTACCTCCCGGGTCCAAGCGATTCTTCTGCATCAGCCTCCTGAGTAGCTGGGATTACAGACATGTGCTACCATGCCCGGTTAATTTTGTATTTTTAGTAGAGACAGGGTTTTACCATGTTGGTCACGGTGGTCTCGAACTCCCAACCTCAGGTGATCCACCCACCTCGGGCTTCCAAAGTGCTGGGATTACAGGCGTGAGCCACTGTGCGCAGCCTTTGTTGTGTTGTTTTTGAGATGGAGTCTTGCTCTGTCATCCAGGCTAGAGTGCAGTGGCATGATCTCGAGTCACTGCAGCCTCTGCTTCCTGGGTTCAAGCAATTCTCCTGCCTCAGCCTCCCGAATCGCTGGGACTATAGGCATGCCCCACCCTCCCAGCTAATTTTTGCATTTTTTATAGAGACAGAGTTTTGCCATGTTGGCCAAGTTGGTTTTCAACTCCTGACCTCAAGTGATCCGCCTGCCTTGGCCTCCGAAAGTGTTGGGATTACAGATGTGAGCCACTATGCCCAGTCCCATGAGGAGTCTTTAAGTCACCAAGGGGAGGACATTGTTTGCAGCGACCATTCAGGGAACAGAGGCTGAGTTGGCCGCATGCTCCATGATGTCCAGGTGGCGTGTAAAGGCATCCCCCAGTGTCTGAGGCCCACGGTTGCCTCTGGGGCACTGGGCTGTCCAGGAGCCAGTGAGGAGGCTCTGACCAGGGAAACTGGCCAGCAGCAGCCGCAGCTAAAGGCCTCGTCCACGCTTTTAGGTCACACGCATTTTCCTACCTTATGAAACGCCCTCTCCCCACCTCCCTCTCGGACATGTCTGTCCCTACAGCAGGGGCTTTTGCAGTGACTCCCAGGAAGCCTGAGGGTTGTATCCGATGAGAACCACTAGGCAGGAGGTGAAGTGAGAGCTACAGTTAGACTCCTGGAATCTTGGACTTGTAGCCCCAGTGACCTCATAGATTGTCTGGCTACCATGTGGTAAATGAAGCTGTGACCAGAAATGTCACCTGACTTGATTATGTTCACACAGCCAGATAAAGATAGCAGGTGGCCTCTGGGTCTCCGGCTTCCCCTGACTCACAATTAGAGGCCTGAGTGGTGGTCACGAGGTCATGGGCCTACCTGTGGATAACCTGGCCATCCAGGAAGGGCCTGCTTCTCAGTTGTGTGTCAGACCAGAGGCACTGTGCTCAGGTTGGGTGTCGAGTGGTCAGCAGCATCCGTGCACATTCCAGGACTCTGCTCAGGGGAGTTATACTCTGATCCAGGTAGAGTACCTGGGGTCGCCCTGGGTCTCAGGCCAGACGCAGGCTGTTACCCCAGCAGCCACCCTCTCAGGTTGTGGGAGGGCCCGGCTCTCTCCCAAGGGGCGCTGTCATCCTAGGCTTTGCTTCATGGCTCCTTCAAGCCCCTTTGTTTCCTTTTCTTTGCTGTGCTCTGGATGGAGCCTGCTGGCTCTTCCTCCAGGAGGACCAAGGGGGTGTCTGGCCCAGCTTGACACAGGGTACAGAGTCAAGCTTCAGGAGAGATGTGACCCCAAGCAAAGGTCCTGTCTCCTCTGAGTGGGCTTCTCCCTCTGCAGAGGGAGAAGGCTGATGCTCCCTCTCCAGGGTGGCTGGCAAGGAGCCTCTCTGGGTCGCCCCTTCTAGCTGGCACTAGCCCCTAACTGTGGTGCTGCCAGTAGATGCGCTGCTTCCCTGCCTTCACCCCCATCGCCATCACAGCTCCAGATTCCAAAAAATTGGGGGCCACGAGTGTCCTCCCATCCCCTCTTCCTGCCCTGGCTCCCACACGACCTCCCCCACCCAAATTCCCTCCCACACATATACACACCCAGAGAGCTTGGGAAATGAGAGCTGGTGGAGGCTCTGTACCTGCTGGGGAAGGTGTCCCAGGAGCTGGCGCTGGCCATCTTGGGCTGGTCCAGTATTCGCCTTTCGTCAGAGCTTAGTCTGTTTGAAATGGACCTGGCACAGTCCAGGTAACCCCTCTGCTTATGGTTGGCCCATGGAGCCTCATCTTCTTCTTTGATTCTTGTCACTTCCTGAAGAGCTGAGGCTGTCCCCTTCCTGGGGCAGAGATGTGGGCATATCATTAAAGACCTGGGAGGTGTCCCCCACCTCTGAAGCCAAACCTCTGCTCTCTCCTGCCTGCCCCCCAGGAGGAATCAGAGAAGCAGCTCCGCCTGACTGAGGTGCAGACCAGGGAGGCCCTGCTGGCTCTGCTTCCAGAACTCTCCATCTTGGCACAACAGGTAGGAGGGAGGGTGGTTCCCAGGGACCTCACAGATCCCAGGGAACATCACCAACTTTCACCTTATGTGTTTCATTGCAGAATTACACCGAGTGGCTGCAGGAGCTCAAAGAGAAAGGCCCCACGCTGCTGAAGCAGCCGCCAGCTCCCATGGAGCCCTCCTCAGTAAGTGTGACTGCCTGGCAAGGGCCCTCTGTCGGGCTCCCCTGTCCCCAAGAAGGGGGACTGCCCCAAGTCATTTCAATGGGAAGCCAAGAGAAAAACCTTTATGTGTGGCTAACCAAACACCTATTCTTGCCTCTCTCAGGACCTGGCCTCCAAGTTGAGGGAGGCTGAGGAGACGCAGAGCACGCTACAGGCTGAGTGTGACCAGTATCGCAGCATCCTGGCGGAGACGGTGAGCACTGGGAACCTGTGAGCCCCGGGCATCCTGGGAGGCTGTGGGAAGGAGAGCTTCCGGTCCACCAGGGCAGGAGGGGGCTTGGTGTTTTGGAAAAGCCCGCTGGCTGTGTGACTCGGCCCCATTCTTTGGCTGCATGCTAAAGGGGATGGATGGCGCCCTCTGAGGTCGTCATTTTCTCTTAAGCTGAGGATAGGGCCTAGGTGAAGGTTTTGGGCCTGGTCTGTAAGCGGGGGAAGGGGAAGGACAGGGTAGGGGGCTGGTGACTGCTGGGTTGAACCCCCTTTCTTCGTGACTCTAAGAGCAACGCCAGGTCCAGCCCTGCTACTCTCTGGCTGGCCCATTATGTGTTCCTCTTTCTGGGCCACTGACATGCTTGGTGCTTGTGGCAAAGCCCAGCAGTGACAAGCATCCTAGTGGTCTTGTGCAGGTCCAAGACCTCATCTCCCTGAGTGGCACTGCAGCCACACTGGCGCACTGGCCTGAGGACCTCCCTCCCAGGACAGTGGCTGCCTTCCCTTCCCACCTAATGCTGGTGCTCATGAAATTGCAGCAGAGGAAGCAAGGCAGGTCACAGGGCTGCACGGACAGGAAGATGCACTGTGTGGTTTGGGTCCCGGGAGGGAGGGGGCCTCACCTCGGTTTCCCCCCAGGAGGGCATGCTCAGAGACCTGCAGAAGAGTGTGGAGGAGGAGGAGCAGGTGTGGAGGGCCAAGGTGGGCGCCGCGGAGGAGGAGCTCCAGAAGGTACGCAGCCGCACCTGCCTCCAGGCGCTGTGGAGTTCACGAAGCTCAGAGTAGAGCTGACAGCATTGTCTGTGTCACCCGTGAGACCTGCGTGTTTTGGTGGGGCTTTTCCATGGCACCCTTTGAAGCACAGTTGCAGGATGACAGCTCAGCCCCTCCTAGGAAGACACTGCCAGATGGCGCCAGGGTGATCGTCCCAGCTGGGTGGGGTGGGCATCCCTGGTGCTTCGAGTTGGGTCACTGCTGCTCAGGTCCCAAGATGGCCTCGGAAGGAGACACCCCCAGGTGCTCGTGTCTCACGGGGCCTTTCCCTTGCTTTGTAGTCACGGGCCACAGTGAAACATCTCGAAGAGATCATAGAGAAGCTAAAAGGAGAACTTGAAAGTTCAGACCAGGTAGGTGGGGGCTCTGCTCGGAGAGCTCTTTCTCTTCTCCCGGGACCCTCTTTGGAAGTGACATTATTGCAGAGGCCACTTCAGTTCTTTCTTCCTCATGGATCATGTGCCTTAAGGGAAGGCATTCTCTCCCAAGCCGAGGGATCTTGTCTGTCCTGTTTTTTCTCAATGAGAGAACATTTACTACCTCAGAGGAGCCTGAGACACAGCCTTGGTCCCTGTGCAGACCTGCTCAGCCCTGGTGGACAGGGCTTCTGCCATGGCCTTCACAGTCAAAGTGGCCCCTCTGTCCCCTTCAGATGCCACAGGCAGTCCTGGAGAAGGTACCCCTGGTGGCTACCTTTGCAAGTCAATCCAAGAGCATGTCAGCTCCCAGGAGTGCGGGGTGCAGCCTGCGTCTTTCAGGAAGGGGTTCTCTGGCCGAGGACTAGTTTCTCGTTTCCTTGGTAGCTGATGGGCCTCAGGGGTCTCCCGACAGCCCCTGCCTAACCCAGGGCCAGTGTGCTCGCTGGGGTTAGTGCCCTTTGAGCAGAGGCTGCTGGCGCATGTGTAGGTGTGTCCGTGTATCTGTCTAGGTGAGGGAGCACACCTCGCATTTGGAGGCGGAGCTGGAAAAGCACATGGCAGCTGCCAGTGCTGAGTGCCAGAACTACGCCAAGGAGGTGGCGGGGGTAAGTCTGCCACCCAGGGAGCGCGGCCCCTGCCTGCAGAGCTTCGGTCCTCCCTGAGCTGCTTCTCCGCAGCCCTTTGGGAGCAGCTCTCGTTGCCATGTCCTCAGGCATTTGCCTGAAGGCTTACAGGCTCCTCAGTGGGCTGTCAGACTTGAGGTGGGTCTCAGGGTGGGTTTCAAAAGGCAGCCTCCCAGCCAGTGCAGGGACAGAGCCAGGCAAGCCCCTCCCCCGGGGAGGCATTTGACATTCTAATTACCCCTCCACAAGGGGATTCTCTGCGTGTCTTGCTGATGTCATATCTGGTGGGGAATGGATTTAGTTCTAATACTGTTTTCTGCTTTCAGAAGCAGAAAGCACAAACCCAGTACCCCAATTCTGGTTTAATCTCAAACTTTCGGGCCACATACAGTGGCTTATGCCTGTAATCCTAGCACTTTGAAAGGCTAAGGTGGATCACTTGAGGCCAGAAATTTGAGACCAGCCTGGGCAACATAGCAAGACCCCATCTCTACCCAAAAAAAAAAAATAATTAGCCCGGCATGGTGGTGGGCACCTCTAGTCCCAGCTGCTCAAGAGGCTGAGGCAGGAGGATTGCCTGAGCCCAGGACTTCAAGACTGTGGATGACAGAATGAGAGCATCTCTAAAACAAAAAAATCTCCAAGTTTTGGCCCTTTTTTACAAGAGATAATCAGTAAATATTTGTGAAGGCCTGAAACAGGTATGTAGTAAACACCATTCTTCCTAAGTTTTACTTTTTTTCGGAGATGGAGTTTCACTCTTGTTGCCCAGGCTGGAGTGCAATGGCACGATCTCAGCTCACCACAACCTCTGCCTCCCAGGTTCAAGCGATTCTCCTGCATCAGCCTACCAAGTAGCTGAGATTGCAGGCGTGCACTACCATGCCCGGCTAATTTTTTGTATTTTTAATAAAGATGGAGTTTCACCATGTTGGTCAGGCTGGTCTTGAACTCCCGACCTCAGGTGATCCGCCTGCCTCAGCCTCCCAAAGTGCTGGAATTACAGGCGTGAGCCACCGTGCCCAGCCCTCCTAAGTTCTGAAAAAGGAAATTGTGGCTGTAGGAAGCCTGGTGAGCCCTGCACTGGCCTGGTGCTGTGACCCTCCTCAGGGCGTTGGTTCAGTGGATCTATTAGGTTTTATGTTTAGGCGCTAACGCACGGAGAATAGTTTCCTCTTCTCTCCTTTTTTCCCATCACCTGCCTCTATTTTCTCCCCAAGTTGAGGCAGCTTCTCCTGGAGTCTCAATCTCAGCTGGATGCAGCCAAGAGTGAAGCCCAGAAACAGAGCGATGAGCTTGCCCTGGTAGGTGGCCTCTGTGTTCCCATGCCAGGAGTGTGATCTGGGTGTTTTGCGTGTGAGATGCATTTGCCAGTCATGTGTTTGCGTCCACTCAAAGATAAAGTCTGGGGAAGGGACAGTGTCACCCGTAGAGCAGCATGGGGCCAGCTTCAGGGGGCCTTCCTGCACATTTGTCCAAAACTCTGAGCTGGGCCTGTGGCTGTCGGGACCAAGGTGCTCCCACGCCATTTTCCGTCCCCTGGCTCCCTGGTCCCTGGTTCAAGGCAGTAGGAGTTCTGGGCATCTACACTCCCCGTGAGCCCACTGTAGTCACCTGGGGGCCTCAGGGACATTGTAGCCCCTAGCATCACAAGACCAGGAGGCCTAGGGGTTCCTCCTGGCCTGGCCACCCATCTCACTGGGGCTCTCAGCAAGTCCTGTGCCTTCTCTGGGTTTTTCTCACCTAAGTGACAGCTCAGATCAGTTCAGTCAAAGCCACAGGCATGCAGGGAGGACCCGCTCCACACCGGCCCTGTACCAGGTGCCCAGTGCAGAGAGCAGCCACGTTGGCAGACCACAGGAGCTCCACCTGTGCAGGCGGCCTCTTGAGTGCCTCCTGGTGTTCAGCTCTGGTATCTGATGCCAAGTCCCAGCTTCTTGGCAGGTTCCACCCAGCCTCACCAGATCTGGTCCCGCCCTAAGGCTAGTGCTATGAGCAGGCATGTTCTGTTTGATCTGTAGCATTTTTAAAAATTCTTAAATTAGTTGTCAATAGGGAGAAATTGGGAGATTTTAAATAAAAATGGCTGGCACTCCCCCTGCAGTCAGTGAGTCCAGCATGCACTTCCAACACTTGGATCCCCCTTGTCATTTGGGTCTTACCCGGCCCAAAACCCCAGAGGCTGTGCTGTCCAGGCCACATCCCCTCCTGGGTCTCGGTGCCACTCACCGAAGCCTTAGCTGAGCGAGGTCGGGGTGACAGGCCCAGGGGACATGGCCCAGGCCGGGCGTGTGCAGAGAAAATCCCCCATAGTTTCTGTAGTCTTCCAACTGTGCAGTTTGGCATTTGCCTTGGGAGGGGCTGTTCAGAGGGAGGGAAGGATGTGTGGGGGTCCCACGTACCTGGAGTGGCCTCTCAGAGCCAGGGCCTGAGACCACTCATATTCCCTGGGGAGCTTATGCCAAGGGCCCCACCTAGGTCTCCGATTAGAACTTCTACCCGAGCTTCTCGAGTGACACTGCCCTTCAGTTTGCAGGCCCGGTGGTTTGGGGGCAACCAGATATGTCACCCACCCCCAGTGATGGAGCTCAGGGGTGGGGACCTTGTTAGGCAAGAATGTCATCTCATCATCTTTTCTAGACCCCAGAAGGGGCTCTGAGCAGTGGACTGTGAGGGGAAATGGGGGATGGAGACAGGGTTGCAGCCACCCCTCTGTTTCATTCAGATTCATTAGCTCTGTGGGCCATGCCATCAGGGGTCACCTCACTCCCAGGGAGGCCTCCTCTCCGGTTAACCTTGGAGCAGAGCACATGGGTCTCATTAGCCCAGAGGCTTGGTGGCCTTGATTTGGCTCAGATTTGGGGGGTTGGGGACCCAGACATAGGTCACAGTTACCAAGCCAGGTCCCCTAAAGGGGGTTTGGCTGTTGAAAACAGCCACGGTCCTCCAAGTGGGTCCTTGCAAGAATGCGCATGGTGGGTGTGCAACTGGCCATGGATTTGCAAACCCTTCCCTGTTCCAGGTCAGGCAGCAGTTGAGTGAAATGAAGAGCCATGTAGAGGATGGTGACATAGCTGGGGCACCAGCTTCCTCCCCGGAGGCATCCCCAGCCGAGCAGGACACCGTTCAGGTTAGGGTGGTAAGCCGGTCCCCAGACACATCACTAACCCCAGGAAGAGTGCAGGGCCTGCTGCCTTTGTTCTGACCAAACCTACACTAGCTGCCCCGGCCTCCGCTGCTTCCCCTCCTCACCCCGCCTCACCCCACACGGTCACTCAGGTTCTGAGAAAGACACAGAGCACAGGACAGGAAGGCGGCCAGGTAGAGAGGCTGGAGGAGTGCGGGGAGGTGGGACTCAAGGAGGGAGTCCACAATTTGGGGTCTGTACCTACAAGGCTAGGGGAGCAGTCCTGGGCAGGGTCTGCAGCTGCCAAAGGGGACTGTCGCCCACTGCAGCCCCAGCTGGGACACCACTAGCAGGACATCCGCTCTCCAGAGTTTGGAGCCAGCGATAGCCACCAAGCGGCAGGGCCTGTGCCCGGGTGGTTGTAGTGTGGCTGCTAAGGGGCTGTCGTTGTTGGGCCAGAGCTCAGGCATCTTTCTTGTCCTGGGAGTCTCATTAAAGGCCCCTGAGGTTGCAGAGGCCTCATCAGCTGCTCCTTAGCCACACCCGAGTCTGTACCAGGGGCTGAGGTGCCCTCTCCCCATTGAGGGGAGTGTTGGGATATGGAAAGGGGGAGCTAGAAGCAGCTAGAGAGCGGGGCCTGCACTGGAACCCTGGGCCCCCAGAGGGTTCCTCACGGGTTATGTGTGGTGTTTGCACAGCTGAAGATGCAGCTGGAGCGGACAGAAGCCATCCTGGAGGATGAGCAGACACAGCGACAGAAGCTCACAGCCGAGTTTGAGGAGGTCAGGCCCTGCTGGGTGGCTCTCAGCCCCCGTCTGCCCTTGGGCCCTGGGTCTCCAGGGAATGAGTGGGTTGGCCCTGCCCCCCTTGGCTATGCCCAGCAGCACCTGGGCTGGGCCTGGGCCTTCTGGGCAGCAGTGGGTGGGGCCTGGTCAGTTCGGACACAGGCTGGAGGTGCTTTGGGAGCCCTGTGGGTGGTCTGCATCCCTAAGGAGTCTTGGCCTGGGGCTGGGGTCAGTCCTGGCTTCCTTGAACTTGAGGGTCCAGCCCACTCACTCCAGCTACAGGATAGAGCTGTTGCCCCATCAGGCTGGGGGGTGCTCCCTGGTCCCTAGTCATGCTTGGTGGGGTCTTGACAGCTCGGCAGTTTATAAGGTGTCTCACCCAGACCCCACTTCCTTATCTGGCAAGGCTCAGACCTCAGCATGTCGGTTACAAGAAGAGTTGGAGAAGCTCCGCACAGCCGGCCCCCTGGAATCTTCAGAAACAGAGGAGGCCTCACAGCTGAAGGCAGGCAGGGGCTGGGGCGGGGTCACACCTGTGGGTTCTACCCTGGGGCTGGGGCCACTCTTGGCCTCAGGAAGGGGACAGCCGACCGAGGGCACTGGCTTCCCCTTGTCACTACTCGGGGCTGGCGCGGGGGGCTTCTGGCCCTGCAGTGTCACAGGGTCGGTCACATGGCAAGCCATTGGTCTGGGTGACCTTTGAAATGCAAATCATGTAGAACTGAAGTGCATTCCTCAGCCGCGTGTCCTGCGCTCGGTGGTCAGGCGCGTCTCCTGTGCTGCCTTGGACGGTACAGAGTAGACTGCTCCTGCCCCAGGAAGTTCTCCTGGCAGTGCAGAGAGCGACAGGACCCAGCCCTGATGGTCAGCATGGGCAGTTTCCTCCCTGTCATCAGCACCTGTCTCTGGGTGACCAGGAGTTGCCTTCCCTGTGCCCCTAGAGGGTTCCAGCCCCCTGGTGTCCAGGTCCTGTGGGCATAGCTGGGGTGGCCTTCCTGTTGGTGCCACTCACAGGCTGATCCCTGTCAACCTTCTGACCATCAGGAGAGACTAGAAAAAGAGAAAAAGTTAACTAGTGACCTGGGGCGTGCCGCCGCCAAACTGCAGGAGCTTCTGAAGATGACCCAGGAGCAGCTGGCAAGAGAGAAGGACACCGTGAAGACGCTGCAGGAACAGCTGGAAAAGACAGTGCGTGCCCAACTGCGAAGCAGGGCGGGAGGAGGCGGACCTCCTGGAAGCGCGGGGCCGGGAGCCCTGGGGAGGCGGGACCAGGAGAGGCAGAGCTGGGTGGAGGTTCGGGGGACAGAGACTTGCTAACGAGGGCCTCAGCCCACCAGGTCCAGCACCCACCCTTCTGGGGTTCCCTCGCTGGGAAGCGAGTGTCTGAGCCCACTGCTGGCCCAGGTCCTCACTTTGCACTGGCTCGGGCCCCTTAGCCAGCACCTCAGCCCTCAGTTCCACCAACTCCCCCCTGTCCCCCAGCCCCAGGGGTCTGAGGCTCCTGTTCTCAGAGGGACTGGAGTAGCTTGAGAGGGTCAGTCCAGGGAGGCACCGAAGGCCCAGGGAGGGAGGCAGGTGGTCCCACCGTGCTCCTGGCCCAGCCTCCCACTCACGCCGCCTGCCTTCGTTCACAGGAGGGCGGCAGCAGCTCAAAGGAGGGCACCTCTGTCTGAGTCTCCTCTGTGGAAAAAGAAGTTACTGTTCAACTTACCAAAATGCCTTACACATTCCTTACACATCGACCAACAACCTACAGCGTCATCCAGGCCCAACTTCCGGTAGCTCCGCGAGAAGCCATTAGAGACGAGAGTCTCTTAGAACCACAGAAGTAGACCTTCCAGAGCCCCAGTTTGTAAACGAACCTGTGTCACATTTGATAAACACTATCCCGGGCATGGCCCCGGGCCACCGCTGAGTGACGCCAAAGCCCTCGCTGACTCTGACAGCCCGGGGGTGTGTGGGAGGCCGGGCGCTCTGGGGTCTGTTAGTGCAATTGTTTTGTCTGTTTTCAGTGGGGCGGGAGGCAGGGAGACTGGGCAGTGAGTTCTCGAAGGCTGTGGGGCCGACCGGAGGCCGCAGCCCCTCACCCCTAGACATTGCCAACCAGAACTGATGTGCAGCCTCCTGGGTGTTGATGCCATTAAAACCAACGTTGGTGCCCGGTGCTGCAGTCTCTTCTGGTCTTCTGCTGGGGCTCCCCCACCTGCTGTTGGGCTCAAACTGAAGAACCCAGAGGGGCTGCCCTCAGGGAGAAAGCAGGTGTGGGCCTCGGCTGCTTTGAATGCAGGGCCTCTGCAGCTCTGTGTAGTGTGGGGCTGAGATCGCTGCTTCCGGAGCCCCCCACACTTTTCCCCATCACCTCCAGGACCTCAGTGCCCACCGGGCAGGATAAGGGAGCAGGGCTTGCGACACCTGAGAGCCATACGTGTTGACTGCTGCCCCCCTACCCTGGAGGGTCTGAGGTTTGTGAGTGTGGCTGGTGGCCTGTGCCGCTGTGCGGCAGAGCTCCGGGAATGAACGCATGGTCTCTGTCCTTGCTGGGGCTTGAACAAACACCCACACCCCAGCAGGGTGAGCCAGGGCTGCAGCAGCCCACTGCCTGCCCTCGGGAGGTGGAGTTTCACCCGCCAAAGCCAGCTTAGACTTGCCATGACCCTCAGACCCAGTGTCCTCAGTGGCCCCTGAAATGTGTCTCTGAGTGTAAACAATAGGAACCTGCAGCTTAGGCCACAAAAAGAGGTTCAGAGTCGGAGGAGAGCCCTAACCAAGCCTGGAATGGAAGGCAGGTCTGTCTTGACGAAGGACTGTTACACTTTTACCTCCCTGCCAAGCCTCGGAATTTGGGGAGAGGGTCTGCTTGGCTGAACTTGGCTGGGGGACAGACAGCTGGGCTGAACTTGGCTGGGGGACAGACCTCGGGAAGCCCTGCCTCCCTCAACCCCCCACACGACCTCTGCCTGCAGTCTTGAACTGCTCAGCCCAGCTCTGTTTGCTGCTCTCAGGAAGTTCCTATGGGCCACCCAGCCGTGATGTGCAGTGCTGTGTGTCTTGGCTGTTCTAGGTGCAGGGAATCCTGGGAGGGTCCCTGAAGAAGTGGGCGTAAGCTGAGCTCCCAGGAAGGGCAGATGTGTGTCAGGTGAGAAAGGCTGGCACCCAGGCAGCATCAGCACAGAGGCATGGAGGGCAGGGTGAGGCGCAGCCCACTGTGGAGCCAGGTCACGAAGGCCAGTGGGGCTGGCCGGGGAAGGCAGTGCAGCTACTAAGGTTTCTGAGCAGGGAGAGCCAAGCCTGCCTGTTGCAGAACAACTTCTAGAGGCTGACGTGGAAAGGGAGCCCATGGTCTTGGGACATTGACACCCTGGTTTCTGGCTGGGAGACTGAGTAGCAGGAAGCGCCTGCAAGGACACCTGATGACTGCCCGTTCCCAGCTCTGTGCCTGGCGCTCAGTGAACCCTTGGTCCTCCCGGTGAGGTGAGCCCTGCCGCATGGAAGTGAAGAACCTCCCTGGACTAAAGGCAGGGTGGGTTCAAACCCACCTCTGACACGTGGCCAGGCCCTGGAGGTGCCACTGCCGGGCCTAAGGGCTGCTCTGGCCCTGCTGGGGCAGGCAGGGATAACAGATGATGAGCCCTTAGAACTGGAGCTGCAGGAGAAAAGCTCCCAAGTGGCATTTCCCTGAACTCTCATGAGGCCAGCTACACAGGAGTCCTACACCCTGCACTGCCTGCCTTTGGCTTCCTTTCTTCTGCACGAACAGACCCAGAGCTTCCAGCAGGTGGCCTGAGGGAGAGTCCAGGAGGAGGCCACTGCCCCTCAGAACCCAGAGGCGGCAGCGTGGCACCCCAGCATCCCTTGTCTCTTTCCCCAAGGTCTCCCTTTTCCTCTGCTCACAATGGGTACCCCTGCCCCATTCCTGTGTCTTCAGATGGCATCACCCCAGCATGGGGCACTCAGTCCCGCAGTGTGGTAGGACGAGGGGGTGATTTGGTGGCAGCATCGGTGCAGGGCACCGGTCAGCCCGTTCCCCACGCCACTGACCTGACCTACAGCCACCCATGTGCAGAGTTCTGCCTCCTGCAGGCGGCCTCCCTCACCCAGAATCTAGGCTTCCACTCAGCCCCCTGCCCCAGATGCACGGGGTGTGGACACAGGGGGCCCAGTGGCTGCTGCAGGGGGTCCAGTGTACACAGAGGGCCCAGTGGCGCTTGGCTCAGGGTGCTTTCCACTGGACTCCCCACATTCCAGAGCCCAGCCCTGCCCCGCAAGCACTGACCTCCTAAGCTGCAGGGCCTGCCACGTGTCAGAGGTGGGTTTGAACCCACCCTGCCTTTAGTCCAGGGAGGTTCTTCACTTCCATGCGGCAGGGCTCACCTCACCGGGAGGACCAAGGGTTCACTGAGCGCCAGGCACAGAGCTGGGAACGGGCAGTCATCAGGTGTCCTTGCAGGCGCTTCCTGCTACTCAGTCTCCCAGCCAGAAGCCAGGGTGTCAATGTCCCAAGACCATGGGCTCCCTTTCCACGTCAGCCTCTAGAAGTTGTTCTGCAACAGGCAGGCTTGGCTCTCCCTGCTCAGAAACCTTAGTAGCTGCACTGCCTTCCCCGGCCAGCCCCACTGGCCTTCGTGACCTGGCTCCACAGTGGGCTGCGCCTCACCCTGCCCTCCATGCCTCTGTGCTGATGCTGCCTGGGTGCCAGCCTTCCTCACCTGACACACATCTGCCCTTCCTGGGAGTTCTGCCTCCTGGAGAGGTGCACCTCCAGGCTGGGCCCTGCCTCAGGTGGGCCAGGCCTCCTCAGCTGTTCCAGGACAGGTTCCAGGTCCGGCTCTGGGGAAGCCAGCTGAGGCACAGCCCTTGCAGACTTCCTGCAGGAGGAGCTAGTAGCCCTCCCCAGCCCCATGGCATTCCCCAGCGTGGCACAGGTCTCTGGCCTGGTCATTCGCAGCCTCCTGTCCTGCAGCTGTATCCGAGCTTAGGCAGCACCGGGGGACTGGCTTGTGCTGTTCTTGGAATGAGGTTCACTATGGAGGCAGGACTCACCCAGCTGCCGCCTGACAGAGGAACCCAGCTGCTGCTCTTCCCGGGCCTGGCTCCACAAAGCCAGACCCTGGGTTTGGGTCCTTAGGTGAAGATGACCAGAGCCCACAGAGTAGATGTGAAGTTCCAGGTTCAAAGGGCCCACAGACAGCATGAGACTCAAAGCCCCTTGCAGACAGCTGTACCTGGCGAGTTTCCTCAGGTCGTCTCTGCCTGGTACTCTGGAACACGTGGGCCCCAGATGCTGTGCCTGCACCTAGGGCACCTGGAGAAGGAAGCGGTGCAGCGAAAGCAGGAAGCCAGCGAGGCCTGAGGGACGGTGGGGAAAGTGAGGTTTTGTTATATAAGCCACTCCATGCCTTTCACAGATGTCATCACTGCGCTTTCTTCAGGGCTGGGTCTAACAGGAGCTCAGAGCCCAAAAGAAATGCTTTCCTTCTTGAACCTTTGAAATCTCACCCCTAGGTGAGATGTCTAATCTTTGAATTTCAGATGTTAGAAATGTTGTGGGAAAATGATCCAATTATAGTAAGAGAAATGAAGTTCTCCTGAGGTGGTGGGAATAGCTCAGGAGCAGAAATCAAGAGGTCTGAGGTTTTGTCCTAGTTCTGCCACTTGTGAGTCAATTAACCTTGGCCAAGTTACCTCACCTCTGGCCTGGCTACTGAGGGTACTGGCCAGAAGCTCTGTAAGTCCTTTTCCCAGCGCCCTTTTGGGACTGCGCAGAACCCCGAGAGCCCTCAGGAACAAAACACAGTACTCAAACCTTCCTTCCACTGAAACTGACTCCTGGAATATTCCTGTCGCCGGACATAATGCAATTAAGAGCCTGTTCTAAATTTCAGAAATGCCCCAAATCACAAAGTGACATGTGTTAGGCATATACAGTCTCTGGTGGTCCGGAGGGCAATGAACCAGTCAAGAAATAAACAAGTTGCACTTGCCGTGCCTGGAGCAGCCAGTACTCAGGCAGTTCTGCAGAAAGCAAACCACCAAACTAAGCCTTATCCAAGTCACTGTGTCCACTGTGTTTGCAGAGTAATATTCTCTGAGGTGACTTCACAGTCAAGCTCTGACTGAATTATTAGCAGAGGCTTTATTTGCTGCTTTGTCAGGGCAAGAGAGTAACCACTGGATGAAACTCAGCTTTCCACATTTTTGCAATGTGTTAGCATTTGTGCAGAGGTAAATGTATTTTCTGGAAGCAGAGTATACCTGAGTTTTGTTCCTGACCAACAGCAGACCAATCAGCTGTGGTCTGAACCCTAATTTTGTACCAGAATCACCCTGAGTGCTTATTAGCACAATTCTTGGGCCTCAGGAATCCACTAAAACTTTCTCAAAAGTTCCTGTAGAGACTACTAGCATCTTACTGTTTCTGGAATGAGTTCTAGATGTTTGCAATCACATCCCTTTATGCTCTTCAAAATCCTTCCCACAGAATGCACCTTACACACACACAATAGTGCCACACTTAAGCAAACACTGCAGGAAAAATTTCCTCCTTCTAAAACTCCCTGACCAAATATCTGGCTTTACCCACACGGCTGACTTTTGAGTAAAGCAGCCTTGGGCTTACAGCACTTACCTGGAGGCCTGTTAATCACAGTCATTAGCAGGACACAGTGGCGCACACCTGTAGTCACAGCACTTTAGGAGGCCGAGTGAGGAGGCATGCTTGAGCCCAAGAGTTCAAGGACATAGTGAGCTATGATTGATTGCACCCCTGCACTCTAGCCTGGGAAAGAGTGAGACCCTGTCTCAAAAAAACAAAACCACACTAAAGCACTGCTACACAGTAGAGAAACAAGAAATTCAGGATGAATGACAAGCAGCCAGCACTATTTTCTAGACAATTCTGAAATAAGCATTTTTACTAAAACATAACCTTATTTGTCTCACAAAAGCCTGGCATGTGGATCAACATTAAAATGTTCCCCATCCTAGCCTGCACTTATGCGAACCTAGATAGCAGAGCCTACCACACACCTAGGCTGTAAGGCAGAGCCTACTGCCCCTAAGCTACAAAGCTGGACAGCATGAGATTATGCTGAATACCGTAGGCAACCATAACACAATGGTGTTTATGTATCAAATTACAGAAAGTACAACAGAAAATACAGTATTA